CGAATGAACAGATCTTACGGAGATAGGGCCGGGATAGTCAGGTAGCCGGACACTGGACTCACGTATGTGAGAACGGGAGTTCGCATCCAGGCGGCCGAAAACTCCCCGTGTAGTAAATGATGACTGGTGCAAGTTAAATATGTCAGGTTACAAAGTCCTCCATGTTTCCATAACAAATCATACCTCTGGGGGCACTAAATTGAAGATGGATCGTTCTCTGGCTCAGGTCAAAATTACGATCCAGCAGATGAATGAATGGGTTCGCCCTATTCACAGGTGTGACGTGTGGGTGTGGTAGAAATCGAATTTACTGCCGTAAGCAGTGGCGTAGTGTTGGGGAGGGTTTGGGAGACGTAACCCCCTCCGACATTATACGAGCTATACCCCCTTGATTAACGAGCTATTGTACGGTAAATAGGTTGCAGTTTTGAAAAAAATCAACATTGATTTTTTCATTCGGAGAAAACATAAGTCATATATAACTTGATTTTTCGACTTATAATTCATTTATAATGTTGACCTTACCGGTAAATGTCCGAAATATTTGTTATATCCAATTTGATATTAATTGATTCGTTTATATTATTATATTTATTCGATGTTCTGCTGAGAATAGATTAGGAGAAATAATAGTCACATTCACCAATGCGACTATGTAATTGTCAACAGATGGAAGTCAACTCATTTGGGTCACTCACAGTAACCTACATGTAAGAACATGCTTTAAAACTACGCCACAGAATATGTAAGCACTTAAAGGAGGCTGCAATCAGTGATTTCATTAGAGTTTGGAAACAATACTTCCTAGGTTCTTTTTTACTAAAAGCAGTTCTCTATTTTAAATAATACCCACACAAATCTATCTTTTACAGGGATGAGATTAGCCAAAAGGCAAAAAAGCTGAATTTCCACAATAGTAAATTTTACGCAAGCGTAACCCTTTAATAATAAATTTCAGACAGTTTAAGGTGATAAATAATGTGTTGACATACAATTGGTACTAATCTATTATTATATAAATGATTACATTGATACTTAACATTTAGTGAAAATAAAAATTACCAATTAAAAAAAAAAAGCTGGAAATTATATTTTTCCTCTGTTCACATAAGAGACAATTATTACTTGAAAAACTACCTGGTTCAGCAAATTAAAACTACTGAGAATATACATTAATATTTCATTTCTTTTAATAAATACTGTTATGTGATTTATAGCAAATATATCAGTAATATTACTTTTTAAATTATATTGGAAAAAAAAACTTTAACAATGGATCATTATGTTCATATTATAGTCTAATCTAACTAGAGCCCTTTGAAACATATCAATAACAGTGAAGTAGAAATATATAGTAACTCCTTAACATACAAAAATTGCTATTTTAGTTTGAAAAGCAAATCAAGACATTGAATTTTAAACTTGTGTGAATATGAATCGCTACATAGATTTTTAAAAAGGCGCAAATACGAATCACAATATCGGATTTTTAAATCTCGTAAATAAGAATCGCAACATACAATACTCAAATCACGTGAATCAGAATCGCAACACTCAAATATGATAAGCTATGTTTGATATTAAAATCGTGTGAATGAGATCGAGATATTAGCAGATTCCAGGCTTGGGACCTCTAAAAGGCTTGTCAGAAGCAGCGTCATTTGAACTACAAAAATCGGATCTATCTGGAGGGCGGGTAAAAAATTCCGAAAATCTTATTTGCTGTGAGTAAACGGAGAGAAAACAGCTAAAATAAGTAAAAATGAGAAAGGTTTGGTAGCTATGCAGTTTGAATTTTCTGTTTCTCTTTGAAAATCGGTAAATTTTCTGAAAAAGCGGAATACTTATAAAAAAATGAAATTTTTAGAAAAATCTGAATTTTTGACAAAAAAGCTGAAATTCAAGTGATAAAAGTTAAAAAAGCGGAAAAATCTCATCCCTGTTTTAGTATAAGAAGTAGTACGAAAAAAGTGAGTATTTTTATTGATTCAGAAGAAGAAAAAAATGCGAACTTTATTCGGAGATTTCATTTTTCTCGATGATGTACCCGAAATATTAAATTTATATTTGGAAATTATTGTTCGCATGCAGATAGTAATCTGAAAGCCGTTGTAAGCATAGTCTGAGACATGAATTGGAAGGTATCATTTTAGTTTTTCAAATCCATGACTTTTCATAACAAATTCCAAGAATTTTTCTTAACTTAACGAAATTACTATTTTCTCCGACAAAAACACAACATTACATTTAAGAAAGCATTATTATAATAACATTCATTGAAGTAATACGTATAACCAAAAGTGCTATGCTCTGCATTTTCATATTTATTGATTTTTAATTTAAAAAACAGAGTAAATAAAGAGTTGAAGCAATAAAATAGCTGAATAAATGCAAAAGTAAGTCATTTTAAATTTTTTTTTCAGCAGAATTATATTCTAAAGATACTTTTCTTGTTCACGGGAAAGGAAAGGAATACTTCTTATTTTTCTGTTCTCATTTCGGCATAAAAAAAATTAGCCAACGACTGGCTCACTTCAGGTAGAATTTGAAACTGATAAAAAATAATAATAACCAAAATTCTGAAAAAACAGAAGTTTAAAAGATAATTCGCTCTAGAAATGACGTTTTTTCTTCAATTTCGTGAAAAAACACCATAATTTTTAAAGAACATGATAAAAATATTTTATATTTTAATAAAATATGACTGTGAGTGGGGATTTTGTTAGAAATTCAGAACACCATGGAATAGGGGGAGGGGATTTTATTTTAAAAATTAGATTTTTCGGCGACCCTCAATCCATAATTTTTTTCTTCTTTTTTTTTTTAAATAGTTAAAATCATGACATTTTATGACGAATTTTGTTCAATACCGAAATTCATGTCTTTCCATGATTTGTCATGACTTTCCAGGTGCGCAGATACCCTGTGAAATTGCGGCAAGCATTTTTATCTCAGCTTTAGAAACTGATATAAAAAGTCTAAAATGTTTAAACTATCTCTTTATGATCAACTTATACAGCTGTTGATGAACTTTCTTCTATTATCATTAAAAACTATCAAAAACCATTAATTTTAAAGAGAGACATCGAATGAACAGATCTTATTCAAAATTTAAGAATAAATTTAAAAATACTATTAAGTGTGAATTGTTTTCTGAAGGTGGTGGGGTGAGTATCTTGTTAGGCTTCGCAAAATGTTGTATGATACTGATATTTTTTATTTGTATGTTAGTTTTAGTGAATATTTAATGCTCTATATTATTATATAATTAAAAGGTAAAAATAATTAACTTATTTCCTCATTTGATTATAACCTTATACATTTTCTAAAAACAAAATTTCTTATACATTTTATTTCATTAAGAAAAGAATTATAAGGTAGAAATAACAATTTAACAGACAAATTATACAATTAAAATATATGTGTTTATATATCAAAACAGTATAACTCAGTGAACATATTTAAAAATATTGATGAGTTTTCACGTAAGTTTCTGCTCTCATATAACAGTTTTTTCATGGGGGAAAAAAACAATCCCATTAGAATAAAACTAAATTGAATAAAAATACAAAAGTCCGCTATAATAGTAAAAAAACTTTAAATTACCTCTATGAATGTTAATTTTTCCACTCTCAGTTATATTTCAAATAAACCAAAAACTACTACATTTTTCTTACTTTTTCATGAAATTGTTTAGAGTTGATCTAAATTTAAGCATCGTAAGCGAAACCTAA